TGGAGGCTCGCCCAGCCAGCCCTCTGACGGGATGGCGCAGCCGATTGACCAACGCTGGGCTAGGCGTGGCCGCCCTTCTAGACTGACCGCCGGACCAAAGTGGCGTGTTGCCCCCCTGACTGGTAGGGCTCAACCACCAGGATTCCATTGGCCAGCTTACGGGTCGCCGGGCACGGCACAAACACCCGGGAGGCTAAGAGGAAGCTCCACACGCCGCCTCAACGCATGGGGTAAGGATAGGAGAGGAAAGTCGAGGGAAAGCGGACAGCTGTACAGGATATAATAAAAGGAGAAAAGGGGAAGGAAAAGTCCAGGGTTTGGCAGAATTAGTAAGACTACCAAACCCCGAACTCCCTGCCTGGGGCCGTGGGGGCGACGCTCCCCATGTATCTTCTCTTGAAACGGGATCAAAGATCCGGCTTCAAAAGTAGATACCCCCTGCGGGGTTGTCTTTCTTTCTCACATTCCTGTATTCATCGTTCGACAAATCATACAAACAAGGATACTTTTTCACTATTTTCTATCAATAATTCCGTTTTTGCCATTGCGAATTTTTGAAGAACGGCGTCAAAAACGCGGTCAAAGGCGAACTGAAATACGCCGCGATAAAAACGCTGGAACAATCGCATTCGCTTCGCACAAGTCTGAGCCTGTCCGTAAACCGCCGCGTTTTAATCTGATCGCGAATTCATCGCCGCGAAATTTTTGCAGCCAAAGCGACTATTTCGCGCCGGTTTGTGGGATGCTTTAACGTTCTACCGCATATACGACGGGAGAGTTGTCAGAGTATTTTTTATTACGAGTGGTCTTGGCATTTTCGGATTGAATGGGCCCCAGATTCAGTTGCAACGACGTTGATGGCCTCACGTTCCCGACTGACCAATTGTTTGCAGTTTTGGAACAAAAAATTGAAATGCTAAAAATGCGGTCCAAATGACCTCTATCGTCGCTAGAGTCAAATACGATATCATTCCACATGTATCTAATCCCGTTAAACATGTAGATCTAATTACTTAGCGAAAAATTGTAAGACTACGTTTTTTGCGACTTTTAGGGTGCAAAAAATCCATTTTTATTATCGATGGCTACATGTGAGCGGAACTTTGTGATAAAGTAATTTGGTGCGCTGAATATAAGCTTCATAGAAAAACAATTCTAAAGCGTCATCGGACCTTTATTTGGGGTGAAATTGGTAAACTTTTAACTCGGGGCTACCCGTGAATTCTAGCACTGAATTGCCTTCAAATACAGAATCTACACACACAATTTACCTAGAAAACGAGCTTTCATCTAGATACAATAGACTCGAAACACTTTTTGGGGATCTTTGATTCATCGTTTTTTTGACAAAGTGAAATTTTTGCCATTATCTCGAATACGAGGACTTTCCGGACTGAATTGACCCCGGATTCGATTTTAGCGACCCAAAAAACGTATTATAAGAATAGATCGGTTCACATTTTCGACTGACCCATTTTTGCAATTTTTGAACATAATACCGCTAAAAATTAAAATGCTTTAAGTGCGGTTCGAATGACCTCTCTCGTACGTATTTCGTGTTCTCAAAGCCGAACCTGATGTCATTTCACATGTATCTAATCCAGCTGAATTGCAGAACTATGCCTTTTTGCAACTTGTGGGTGCTAAAAATCCATTTTTCTTATCGATGCCTATCGAAGCTTTGTATAACAAGATAATTTGCGGTTTGAGGTTCATATATACAGGGTGATTCACAAGTGGTGACAGAAAATGGAACATGGTACACAGGACCGCATTTTGAGGGGGTCTTCTATGTAACATTTTTTCCTCGAGTGATTCGTTAAAAAGATACGGGGTTGAAGTTTAAAAATAAAAAACACAAAAAAATTTAATATCTTCGAAACCATCAACTGGAATGAACTAAAATGTGGTATGTGGATTTATTTTAAGTATTGTCCACATTCAAAAGTCTTTATTTAAAATTAACGTGGTGGAGATACAGGGGATTAGTGGCATTATTTTTCCAAATAAAAATAGTACGCCACTGTTTCTTTGAAACGTGCGATTTTTCGAATGTTTCCTTCAATTTGCTACAAATAATTACTCTTATGTTTTTTCGTGGAGTGCAATGTTTTCGTAAAATAAAAATAAAACAAATTAGATCATACATGAAGAGCCGAAATACAATTAATTAGTTTTAAAATAATATAGGAGGCCTCGATACCAACTTGACGTTTCTTGGGAGATAAAGTTTTATGTGTGTTTATAGGGTTGTTATCGTTACTACAACCATTTTTTTTGTATAAGTCCAGTCAAAAGTTTCTTTTTACCATTTTTGAGTGTTTGTGGATAAAATTAATAACGAGCCACTTACCGATGGTGCCGATAGCTGTCGAAAGTTTGTTTCTTCACACAAAGTCAAACGCTGTGAGCGAAACTTTGCTACCAGGAGCATAGGAATACGAGGAGGTCTCGAACACAAACGTCCCTATAATACGAGGGTGATCTAAAAAGTATAATCACCTGTTTTTTAACACCACGGAAATCCTTTATTTTTTTATAATTTATACATCGTTATAAAGCCTGAATATTTAGCTACATAATCGTTATTCCGGCCAAACATCTTTGTAAGCGCAGTGTTCTGAATCGCCTTCTAGTTAAGAGACCGTACTTTTGGGATTACCCTTGTTGCCATAGTAATGTCGGTATTACAGGTTACTGAAAGCGTTACTAATTGACTTGGCAACGTCGCTTTCTCTAAATTAATTGTTGAATTATAGATTAATAGATGACGCTAGCTGTAAATTGAAACATGTGGCGCTACCTCATAAGCAAATAGTCTTATTATACATATGCTATGCCGTCGGTATTACAGGTGATCATTTGAATTTAGGGTTCAGTAGCGTAGGTAGCTACTGTAAAAGGGGTACCGAATATCACGTTGCCTTAGCCAAAAAGAAAACCGAACAGTAACAAATATGAACAAAAAATATTTATCCAAGCTTCATCATTGATTTCAAGGAGGAGTTAAAGAAATTTTATGGGATCATATATATCTGTTCTAGGTGGGTAAAAATGAGCGAGAAATAAAGTTTCCTGATTATGTCTGAAATTTGTTACTGATCATATACAGTAAGGTTCAAACTTGGTTGACGTCGTTCACTGAACACAGTGGTATTATTGCAACCTTAAGAATTTCAAAATAATTTCTTTTAGTTGATATCCGTCACACTTTCAGTTTCAATATCATACCTTTGTACCACTACAAGATATCTTTTCTGATTGGTGAATAACCAAAAGGTTTAATTTATATAAATCTGTGAAAACTCAAAAAAAAGGAAATACATTTATTTCTTCCAACGTTCGAATCACATCTTTTTTTTTGCAAGCCAAGTGTAAATAACGGAAAATGTTGGCCAATCAGACGGATGTTTTAGGAAAAGAAAGGTTGCCACTACCAACTTGCGTTTAGACATTACTCATTCTATACAAAGAAATTATTATTTCTATATCTAAAAAATTGTATGAGGTATGTTGACTTTGTACTTCCTAAAGTTAGACAGAGTTGGAGTGAAAAGCAAGAGCTGTGCGAGCTGTTCTGATAGGTTTACGGCACGCCAGCTTCATAGAAAGAAATACCGTAAACACGGCTCTGTTTGATTAGTGCTAATAAAATTAATAAATAACACACCACTGGTGCCGACAGCCGTCGAAGGTTTGTTTCACACAAAGTCAAACGCTGTGAGCGAAACTTTGCTATCAGGAGCATAGGAACACGAGGAGGTCACAGATACAAACGTCGCCATAATAGGAGAGTGATCATAAAAGTATAATCACCTGTTTTTTTAAAAGGACATAAATCATCTATCTCTTTTAATTGATACATCGTCATGAAGCCTGGTCTATTTTGCTACATAATCGTCATTTTCACCAAAAATCTTTGTAACCGTAGTGTCAGTTTAGTAATGTCGGTATTACAGGCTACTGAAAAAGTTACCAATTGACTTGGCAACCTCGCTTTCTCTGAAGTAATCGTTTAATTATGAGTTAATAGATGGCTCTAGCTGTAAATTTAAACATGTAGCGCTACCTATTAAGCAAAAGTCTTATTAGACATATGCTATTTCGTCGGTATGTGAATTTATGGTTCAGTGGCGTAGGTAGCTACTGTAAAAGGGGTATCGAATACCACGTTGCCCTAGCAAAAAAGAACAGTAACAAACATGAATAAAAAATATTTACCCATGCTTTATCAGTGATTGAAGGAGTTAAAGAAAACCCATTTCCAGTGGCGCACTGTAGGAGCCTGTATCTCCTTAGGGGCGCAATAGAACACGTTTTAGGACGATTTTATGGGATCATATTTATCTGTTCTAGGTGGGTAAATATGAACGAGAAACAACGTTCCCTGGTTGTCTGAATTTTTTTAGTGATAATCTACATATTTCACAGTGCTATGCTCAGTAGGTAACTTGAGGTGGAATCATCCTAGTCATAGAAATCAAACAAGACGTTTATTACCCAAAATGCATGTACAAACAACACTTCCTATATAGTAATAATACATTTACGCGTGGAGTTAGAACGTTCTACCCATTCTTTGATTGAAGATTACATATTGTTTATTTGCTTGAAATTGCCTTAGGCAACTAACAAGTGCAGACACGTCATAACAATAACATTTAAAACAACAAAAATAAAACACAAAAACTTTCTCAATTTTTTTGGTTTTTTGGAAATTTGCTCCCTGATACGATGATGTGTTTCTGTGAATATCAAAGTACCTGTGAACACCATAACAGTTCCAATCCAGTGAGCAATAGTAAAGGGATTTTGAAAGTAAACTATCGAAAACAGTAATGATAGAAACTTTCTTAAAGTTATAACTAAAGTTACAGTTAGTGATTGGCACTCGGTTGTTAAAATATAGATATTGTTGACACACATATACTGGGTGATAACGTTTAGCAATAAGAACATCCAAATGATTGGCAGTCCAATATTCAGGAAAGGAATAGATATCATCTCGCTATTGCTATCTGGAATGCTCTACAAGACTTTGGTAGTATATCAGAAATCCAGGTATTGGGTACAGATGCTGAAACAAAAAACTGCATTGGAAGATATCAAAGATGGCATAATTTTTTGCAAAGTTCTATTTTATTTGACCTAGAACTTTATGGATAAGACTTACTGTGTAATACAAGACTTCCTGTGGATGTTTTCCTTGTTTTTGTTAAGTTCCTCTTGGAAAATACTAATTCTGGCTGATAAAAATAGTGCTGTTGTTAGTAATATTATTGCCAATTATCCACCAAAAGAAGTAGTCTTTAGAAGCACTTATTCCTTCATCTTTACCCACCACAATATCACACTCAATACATTTCTACAAATACATGGAGAAATTACTAAAAACATCATTATTTAACAAAAAGGGATTTAAAAGGATATGAATTTTTATTTATTAATTTTTGATGGATTTGAAAAATATTAAAATTAGCACAAAGAATACTTAGCCTTTTAACTCTCTTTGGTAGAATAAAGCGTACAAATTATAATTCCTATAGTTATTAATAACACAGATATGTATTTCTCGAAGGTATATTCCTTTTTGAGGATTACGAGGGATGTCTTTTAAGTTTTGCATATAGAAACATAGTAGGCCGTGCGGATCGAACGTCAGTACTGAATCTTAACCTCACTTTTTAGTAAACTTAAATTCAAAGTTTCACAACAATTCGTGCAGTGTTCTCACTGCAGTGAATTTTTAAGTGTCACTAAGTCATTAGAAAAATGGAACTCAACCGAGAACATTTTCGCGCCATAATTTATTACAACTTTCAGAGATAGTTATAGCAACAAGAATGCCTTGCTGAGTTACTGTCTGTTTTCGACAACGAAGCGCCACATCAGTCGACAATTCCCCATTGGTATGGAGAATTCAAACGTGGACGGGTGAAGTCTTAGCGACGATCCCAGGGTGGGTGCACCAAAAATGGCAGTCACCCAGGAAAACGTCGATTCTGTGGACAAACTCATCATTGAAGATAGACATGTGACATATCGCGAGATTGAGACGTCCTTGAAAATCTCAAAGACCTTAATTCAAAAAATTTTACATGAAGAATTAGGAGTAAGAACATTAGTTTCTCGTTGGATAACCCACCTGTTGACCGAAGAGCAGAAAGCAGCCAGGGTTAATTGGTGTTAAAAAACGCTTGACCGTTTCAATTCCGAAAACTCAAAAAATGTGTACAGCATTGTTAGTGGTGATGAATTGTGGATTTACTGTTATGAACCAGAAAATAAACGACAGTCGGCTGTTTGGGTGTACCAAGGTGAAGAAAAGCAAACAAAAGTCATCCGCTCTCGAAGTGTTTCGAAAGAGGTGGTCGCGACATTTGTGTCAAAAGCGGGTCATATTGCAACAAATCCTCTTAATGAGCAAAGAACTGTTACTGCGGATTGGTATACCACCATTTGTTTGCCAAAAGTCATCACCGAGCTTCGAAAAATCAACCCCGAAAGAAGAATCATCCTCCATCAAGATAATGCAAGCTCGCACACAGCCCAAAAAACAAGGCAGTATTCAACGGAAGAAAACGTGGAATTATTGGACCATCCTCCATATAGTCCCGATCTAAGTCCTGACGATTCCTTTACTTTCCCGAAAATTAAAAACAGACTGCGTGGTCAAAGGTTCCAGTCACCAGAAGAAGCAGTTGACGCATTCAAAAATGCCGTTTTGGATCTGCCAGCAAACGAGTGGAATAAGTTCTTCGAAAACTGGTTCGAGCGCATGCAGATGTGTATTAATCTTCGTGGAGAATACTTCGAAAAACAATAAAGTCATTTAAAACTACATACCGTGTTGTTTTATTTCCATAAGGAAAACTTAAAATACATCCCTCGTAGTATTCCCAGCATCATATTGGCAATAAGGGACCCCTACAAAACATGATTTGTTAATCCTAGTGCAAACATTTAATAGAAATGTATGGTTAGTAGCTTTTGACCAATACAGAAAAAAATACTGAATAGTCTAATCATATTAAACGAAAATACCGCTGGCTTGAGAAATAATTGTAAAGTGTGGCTTTAATGCTGCAAGTTGTTCAAGAGGGTATTCAAAACATGGACGCAGAAAATGGGTACACCAATTTTTGTCGGACAACTTTTCATTTGACAACAACAAATGAGAAAATGTGTTTTTTTGGGATTTAATCGAAAGTGTTGACAGGAACGAAAAAACTCTTGATCTAAGATTTTTAGGTATTTATGAGACCTACAAAATAAGATCACACGTAGAAAGATCCGACTAATAGCAAAAAAGTTATGACCGAAAAGCGAGACAAACAGCAGGTTTTGGCACTTGTTGGTAATGCGACGATGGTTTCTCGCCGATATTTGAAATTCTTCAAATTCGTAGGATTCGTGCGTCTAAATAACCTCAACAAAATTGGAGTAGATTGGTCAAGTATTTTTTGAGAATATCTAATTGTTTATCCCAAAACACCTGTTTTCCGGCCATCACTACTAGTTTACTGAGCAGATAAACAGGATTCTGGTTTCGAACGCCGTGGAACGCGTGTCGAGCAAAAACAGAAAAACCGTAGACGAAAGACAAACCTAGAGCAGACCAACAACCAAGTGGTGTGGTAAAAATACTAATCAATATTTGTGTGTTAGTAACCCTATCCCCTTCTCGGTGAGTCAAAATCCAGTTTTTTATATACTTTACCCCAAACATACTATTTTGTGTACTAATACCTATCACAAAAAAAGAAAAAAGGGGAACGCATAAAAGTTTAAAGGCATTCGAACGGATTCCGGGGGGGAATCACCCCCCCCGAACTTGTGCTATAGATAATAGAAACCTTACACAAGCAGAGCTAGAAAATATGATTGGTGTCACAAACAAAGAAAAAGCCAATGAAAAAAACACTATATATAAAAAAGAAATATGCTACAAAAACTCTGAACAGGGACCATTCATAGTTTTTGTCGAAGCAATGGAAGGCACGGGGATTCAAGTAGGTCAAAGAAGGTATCTACAGCTAGCAAAAGATATATTTCAATTAAATTTAACCAACATTAAACGCATACAAGTTAATGGAAGGAATAGGTTTGGAGTAGAGTTCCTGGATTACAAGTCAGCAAACCCTTTTGGAAATAAAGAACTCAATGGGTACAATATATATATATATATATATATATATATATATATATACCATTCAACAAAGTAACATGCAAGGGACTCATAAGACAAGTAGATACAAGCTTCACAATTGAAGAGATTATTAGCGCTACCGAATCTCCAATGAAAGTGTTGATGCAAAAAGGCTCAATAGAAAAACCATAGTAGATGGCATTACAAAATACACGCCCACTGGTACCATACTAATAACATTTCATGGCATAGTACGTCCCAGAGATTTACTAACTTCTCTTTCCCGTATTTACATATATACCACCTGTCACTCAATATTACTCTCGTCTCACTTATGGTTACACTAAGACCCAGTGCAAGGGAAAAAGAAGAGGCTTTAATTGCGGTAATCCTGAACATAATGAAGAGGGGGAGAACTTTCACTGTCAAAGAAAATATTATCATTGCGATAGTCTGGAACACAGATCCAACTCGAAAGACTGCCCAGAGTACAAGAGGCAGGAAAAGATAAAACAACTTATGGTATTTGAAAATATTTCGTACTTTGAGGCAAACGAGCTGTGTCCTAAAACGTATAAATCGCAAAGTAACATGATAAACACAACCGACATAGCTTACAATAATAAAAATTTCCCAACAATCAGAAACCAGAATACAACTTCTAGCTGCGGAACAAGTCAAATAAATATAGCACAAAGAAGAACATTTGAATTCGCGAATACAATAAAAACAAAAAGAACCTTTCAACAAGCACTATCACAAACACCAAAAAAAAAGAATAGTTGAACATAACACCGGATACAATAGAGAAAGTCATAATGAGAACCTAATAAACAGAAACGGTAGACAACAAAACAGTAACGGACCAATGACAGTTCAAGCACAAGTGCACAATAACGCTTCAAACACAAAAGCACCATTCAACACACCTAAGACGCCTACTAGTGCCCTTTACAGAAATAACACTAAAGAAAAAGTAGATGAAATCGTTGAAAACTTAAAATACCTTTAACCTGGAACCCTAAGTAAAATTAAACAAATAGTACTTAATGATACAGACCAGACTGACAACGAATTTCACTGAAAAAACAAAAAATGTTACATAGCCTAGTCTCAGTAGCACAAAACAGACACAACTGCAAAATGAACAGCAAAGGCACTTTAATCACTTTACAGTGGAATCTAAAGAGTTACAGTAGTAACAGCGTGAATTTAATACAATTTTTAGAAACGCATAACCCAGACATCATTTTTTTAAATGAGACATGGCTAAAGAAACAACAGAGTTCGCATATTAGAGGCTATCAATGCATTAGAGCAGACCGAGAAGATGAGAAAGGTGGAGTAGCTACATTTATAAAATAACATCTGTTTTCAAAACATAAGACTCCCTAACACATTTAACACTGGAAACCTACAATGTATTGTCACTAAAGTCCTTAATATTAATTTTGTTAATGTATATAGCCCTCCAAGCAACCAAATCACAATAAAAGGGTTCAATGAACTATTGAAATCGCTCGTGGGCGAAGTGGTGTTGGTGGGGGACTTCAATGCCCATCACCCAGCATGGGGTAGCATTAAGACAAATTACAATGGTAGAGCTCTCTATGAAATCATAGAATCCAACAACCTCATCATAATGAATGATGGTTCCTCAACCAGACTCATAGGACCAGGGGAGAATTCGAGTCCTCTTGACCTGACCATCGTGTTGAACAACTTCCCACCATCACAGATTGGAGTATTTTGCAGGACTGCGGAAATAGTGATCACTTCCCGATCATTTGTAAATATGAACACTCACTAAGATCAACGAACGAAAGACCCAAAAGAAATTATAGAAAAGCAAATTGGTGTTTATACAAACAATTGATAAACGAACACTTTAGGATGAATACGGATAATGTTGACTACCAAACCCTTGC